GAGCAGGGAGCCCGATGCGGGGCTCGATCCCAGGACCCTGGGACCATGACCTGAGCCGAAGGCAGACGCTTAACGACTGAGCCACCCAGGCGCCCCTAAACAAGTAAATCTTTAAAAAAAAAATACAAATTTGAGAAAAAAATTCCAGTAATAGAGAAAGAGGAGCTCTGGGGCCCGGCAGGAAGGCTCCCACAAAGAAGGGCGGCTCTGCCACCGCCGAGGCGGTGGCCAGAGAATCCACTACCAACGGTCACACGCGTATCCGTAAAGTGGGTTTCAAGACGTGTGCCCCTTGGGCACGCAAGGAGATCCAGAAATTTGCCATGAAAAAGATGGGAACTGCAGATGTGCGCACTCACTGACACCAGGCTCAACAACGCTGGTGTCTGGGCCAAAGGAGCAAGGAACGTTCCATACCATACCCATGTGCGGTTGTCCAGAAAACATAACGAGGATAAAGATTCACCAAACAAGCTCTAGGTGTTGGTTATCTATGGCCCTGTCACCACTTTCAAAAATCTACAGACAGTTAATGTGGATGAGAACTAATCGCTGAGTATCAAATAAAAGTAGAAAACTGCAGGGCGCCTGGGTGGCTCAGTCGGTTGAGCATCTGCCTTCGGTTCAGGTCATGATCCCAGAGTCCTGGGATCCGGCCCCATGGCGGGCTCCCTGCTTGGTGGGGGCCTGCTTCCCCCTCTCCTGCTCCCCCTGCTTGCGCTGACAAATAAATAAACAAAACAAACATGAAAAAAAAAAATGTTCTATTATAAACTAAAAAAAAAAAAAAAGGCAAAAGCAGCAGCCAGAGAGAAAACAGAGCAGGTTATGCAGACATGAATCACTCTCAGCAGCAACAGGAGCCAGAAGAAAATGAAATACTATCTTCTTGGTCCTGAAAGAGAGAACTGCCAACCTAGAATTCTACACCCAGCTAGAGAAAGGGTGTCACAAAGACTTTTTCAGGCAAAGAAAACCTGCCAAAAAATTTCCTGAAGAACTCGACAGAACGTACGTCATGAAGAAGCATGTTGCACCCAGATGGAAGGAAAACGCAAGAAAGAGAAAGCAGCCAAGAAACCAGTATATGGACAGGCAAATCTGAACAAGCACAGATTGCATGAAACAACAAAAACAATAATGACTAACTTGGTGGGCATAAAAACAAGGAACTAAAATTCTAGGGATCAATAGGAAGACAGACTGATGGCACCATCAGAGCTCAGGTTAGAGGTAAGGACACTGACTGGCTGTTTCAAGTCAGAGGTGCATATTAGAATGTAATGTAACCACTAACAACCATAGAAATAGAACGCAGAGTACAACCACCAAAAGAATAGGAAAACTTGCTCCAAAAAAGGAAGAAAAAGAAAAGCACAAAAAGGTGAGATACACAGAAAGCATAAAATAAGAGAGTAGGAAATCCTAATATAATAATCCCCAAGACCTAAGTGAGGCACTTTGGCAATTAAAGTCCGATTTTCAGAGTGGGTAAAACCATACACATCTTGTACATACAAACTCCCCCGAAAAAAGGGCTCAGAGAGGCTGACAGTAAAAAGATGGAAAAAAGATACCAAGTGAGCACTCATCAAAAGAAAACTGCAATGATGACATTAATATCAGACAGAGGGGACATCAGAGGGAGGAAGCACAATCAAGGATAGCAGGTGCTACGTGATGATGAGGAGAACAAGATGCATCATTCCACACCTGTCTGCTTCCAGACAGAGAAAGCAAAACCTGACAGGCTTTGGGATCTGACAGATCTCCATTCAGAGCGGGAGACTCTCCCACACCTCTCTAGGAAAGTGATGGTGGGGAGGGGCGGTAAGAGCTTGTGGTGGGATAGGGTAGGTGCTCACAGCATAGTCAGCAAGTTCCAGGTAATGGGCCGTGTCCAACTGGAGGATAATGTTCTTTTCAAGCAAACACAGAATGTTAAAAAAAAAAAAAAAAGATCATGTCATATCCTACAAAGAAAATATCAACAAATGCCAAGCAACCTGGATCAGGAGCTGGGTGGTTTGGTCATTTTTGTTCTAAAACAGCAAAATGGAGTAGATGCTCAAAACCTAAAACATTGACTATCTGGCATTTATAGAAGGTTTCCTGACCCTTGTTCTCTGTGGTCCAGACAATATTGACTGACCACAAAGCAACCACATTAGAAATTAACACCATAGGGACAATCTTAAAACTCTAAATATTTGGAAAATTTACAACATACCATTAAAAATCATCAACCAAAAAAGGGTAATAAATCAAAATCAAACTAACATTTGAAACTGTATAACAAAAATGTTGTATCTTAAAACTCCTATTCATGGGAATTTACAGTTGAGGTCATCCTTGAATACTGAGAACAAAAGGTCAGAAATTAATGAGCTAAGTATTCAACACAATTAGTTAAGAACAGAAAAATTTCAAAGGAATTGAGGAAAAGAACAGAAATTAATGAAATAAAAGCCAAATAAAATAAAGTAATTAAGAAATCCAAAAGCTGCTTTTTAACAACGGCATTACACAAACCTTGGGAAGGACAAATCAAGGGCCAAAAAGGAAGAGAGAAGGCATAAAGAACATTAAGAATGGAAAGAAAGAAACTTCAATTAAAAAAAAAAAAAAAAGACAGAGGGACACGACGACACAGCAGGAACACCAGAACTAATTAAAACAACGTATAACGCGCGACCGGAAGGACTCTTCCCAGCGATACCATGTGACTGGAACTATTACCATAGCCTCACTTTGCAAACAACAAAAAGTTCCAGCTCAGGCTGGTCCTGTGAGTTCCAGGAAAGGCCAAAGTCCAGGTGGGTCCAACTCCCGAAGGAACACCCTTACCCCCACACCATCCCACTGGAGCATGCTTACCTGAGGGGTGGAGGGCGGAGGGGTAGAAATCCACTGGGGCGCGGGTGGGCGGGATTCGTGGGTCCATGTAGGAAGGCATCATCATCCACCTGGGATCGAAGCCCAGCATCTGGGGATGGTGGGGGTAGAAGGTGCGCTGTGGGTGGGAAGGCGGAGGGTACACGGGCTGCCAGTGCTGCATTTTGTAGAGCTGCTCCTGACCGGGGAGAGAGACCAAGTTAGACAGGTGCCCGGGGCAGAGCCTGCGCCTGTGTGTACTCCCGTGCACACACACACACACTCACGTGCACGCACAACACACACATGCTCACATACCGCCCCCGCCCAGTCACGCCAAACCCGGGCTTGAGGAGTGTCTGATGGTTCCCCACGGCTCTCTGTGGGGCAGCCCGAATCCCACCAGGCCCGATGTGAGCTGCCCTACCTGCCGCTAGCTTCAGCACACGACTGCCGGCCTCGTGGGGCCCTGGTTACACACTGGGCCCTCCGTCTAGAAGGCGCCTGCTCGCTCCCTCCATCCTGGCTCACCCCTGCCCTTCCTTCAGTTTCCGCTTAAAACGCCTGTCCTCTGGGCAGCCCACTACAAGTCCGCGGGCGGGACCAGACGGCCGTCCTCGGCTCTGCGACACTGGGACTCCTCCCTGTAGCACTCCCAGGAGGTCGCGATTCTGTACTGCTGGTTTCCCCTCACAAAGCTGTAAGCGACTACATGCCGAGTCCCCTGTAGCAGCCCTGCCCTCCTACCACACTGCACAAATGGGTGAGTATCAGCAAAACATTCAAATCAAGTCCTGCACCCGCGAGGGTTTGCTTCCAGCCCTGCCCCCCAGCATCAGTGACCCCCGGGGCACCACATAAGCGCCCCGAGAATCAGCATTCCAGCAGGAGTCAGGTACAGAGTCAGTTAAGGAGAAGAGCTGACCGGCTTCGCCCTACCCCTCTACAAACAGAAAGGCCTGGGCCGGGTGCACGGAGCTGCTCCTCCGTCCGGTCCCCAGGCCCCCGGGGAACCTGACCAGACAGTCTGTCTGCCAGGCTCCTTCGGCTGCCCTGGTGCACTCAGACTCCTTTCTATTCCTGAGGAATGACTTACCCGTCCCCGCCCCCCGAAGCGTTACTCTTACGGCTGTGTCTGGCTGGAGTTACCCCAGGGATCGTCCTGATCGGTAATTCTCCACCAAGCCCACGAATCGCTGCACGGTGCTCGCTCACTCAACAGCGCCAAAGAATGTCTTCACAAAGACTATCACTTCCTGTTTATAGCTCAGGATCTGGTGAGCTTCCGAAATACCTCGCAGGGGCCCAGGGAAAGGAGGATCTGAGGTGAAGGCTTTAAAGGCAACTAGAAAAGATTCCGGAAAAGGCTGAAGACCCTGATTTGTCTCCCTAAGGCACACATGTTCTGGTCCATGCTCAGTCATCACTACCAACGACTGAAGGCACATCTAGCAGCTGGGCTACGTGATGTCCACATTTCCTCTGTTTCCCACCAAGGTGCACTGCTCATCAGTACGAACCTGTTCCTCCACACATCCCTCCTCAAAGACACACTCCCCGAAGAGTGCTCCAGTGGGGCCACCAGAGATTGGTGTGATGACAACCATCACCCACGTCATCCTCCCCGGGGCAAACAAGGTCCCCTTTGAGCTTTACGAACCACTCAAAATGAGGACACTGATAACACTGCTGAGCCAGTCCGTGGGCGCCCGAGAAGCCTCGCTACCACACTGAGGCAGGAATCCATTCCTCCTGGCCCATCCAAGGCCACACCCGACTAGACAAGCTGCACAATCAGGATCGGAATCAGTTCAACTCAACACCCACAAACCTACATCCTTAGCCCAAAGCTAGCACACCTCTCCGGCAGCTTTCCAAGCCCTCCTGGGCCTCCTCCCTCGCTGGGAGGGTCCCAGGGTGGACAACGCTGGTCTTGGGAGAGGCCACAGCGGACTGCTCTGAATGAAAACACCAGTGTTCAGTGGAACTGCACTGGGTGAGTGCACACAGCACCAACACTTCCTTACCGACACCAGACAACACGGCCAATACGCTACCAACAGCAGTTTTATTCATTTACGGGAGAAATCACTCGGAAAAACACAAACTGGCCAGGGCTGGTCTTCTAGGGCTGTAAGTTTTCAGGTGCAGCTCCTGACGTCCCTGCCAGTGACAGGGATACGGGAGGGCAGATTTCTGTCGGATGCTTTCATCAAAGGGGGAGGGGACATCCAGTGAGCAGTCCAATCTGTTTACCTGCTGCTGCTGGCGCTGGAACCTGGGAGGAAGTGACTTCTGGTACTTGCTGAACTCCTGTGCAGGGGACCCAGCCTCCCTGGCCCCCTCCTCACTGCTGCCGCTCTGGACCACAGCTGGAGGAGCCGAGGGGGCTTCTTCCGAAAACGTGTTGGGGGCTCCCTGGGCAGAGAACTCAGGAGAGCCTAGAGGACAAATAACCAGAAAAACGGCTGCAGTGAGCTCACAAAAGCTGGGTCGGCCAAACACTGACAGCAGATGCTCTTTCTTGTTGGCACGGACACCCCACTGCCGGCCTCCTCACAGCCCCGAGTCCTGGCACTGCGCTAACTGCCCCGCATGCATGTGCTCACAGACCCCCTGTGACGCCATCCCTTTGGAGGCGAGAAAGCTAAGGGTCGAGAGGGCAGGTGACCTGCCAGAGGTCACAGAGTCCGCGATGAGGCTGGGATTCGGTTCCAGGCAAGAGAGGTTTTACTGAGAAGGACTCCAGCAAACCGGAGAACAGCCACCAGCTCGGCAACAGCCCACATCCATCATCCGAGCAGCAGGAGTCAACACATCCAAAGGCTGTGCGAGTCACCGCGCCTCTCCTCGCCCGCTTCCTCATCGATAAAGGGAAGAGAACAGTTTCCTTCTTTCTTGCCCCCGTCCTAGCTTTCCATTCTTCTTTTTTTTTTTTGGTCCCTAGCTTTAATGACATATAATTAACATCTGCACTCTTAATTCTACTGCAGGGGACAATCAAACCCCAATGCAAAGCCTCAGGGACCTGGCGGTGCTTCCCAGGGGAACGCCACAGAAGCGCAGGGCAGGTGCACACGCAGCACCCAGACCTGCCCCCGAGGACCCGTCTCAACTGACCCATGCTCACACCAAACCACCTGCTTCCTGGACTCTCCAGCTCAGTGAGTCCTGAGGCTGGGCACACGCTGCACCCAGACTTCCAGGCAAGGAAATGGACAGAACAGTCGGCAGTTTCTCAGAATTCCCTGGACAGAAGGGGCTGAGGACCAGCAGATCAGGGATAAGACCCACCTGAGCACCTACCATCAGCCCCTTCTCTCCTAAAAAGAGTTGTTTTTAGTTGATTTAAGAATATCGGGGCACCTGGGTGGCTCAGTCAGTTGGGCATCTGCCTTCGGCTAGGGTCATGATCTCGGGGTCCTGGGATCGAGTCCCTCATCAGGCTCCCTGCTAAAGTTTAGAGCCTGCTTCTCCCTCTCCCTCTGCCCCTCTGCCCTGCTTCTGCGCTCTCTCTCAACTAATAAAATCTTTTAAAAAAAGTACATCACAAAGAACAAAGCTGGTCGTACTCTTTTCAAAGTGCTCCAAGAACCCCTTTCCGCCACGCAATCTATTCCTTGCAGAATTAATGCCAGGAAGAATGCACTCGAACGAGCAGGCAGGCTTCTCTCAATGTCACAAAGGTACGTTTTTTGTGATTTTCTTAAATGAACCACAAGGACCCTGTGCTTGAATTAAAGCCCTCCAGCACCCGCATATTCGGGTGGGCAGTGGCAGGAACGAGAACAGTGATGAGGACAATGAGGACAAAGTTGGTAACACGCATGCTCTTCGCCAAGTGCTTTCTGTACTTTCTTTCCCGTGGCCCCTCAGCGTGTGGGCAGGTACAGGCTACTTCCATCCCGTTTTAACAATGAGGAAACAAGCTCCAGGGAGCGAAGTGTGTAGCTGCAACAGGAGGTGAACCCAGGCCAGAACTCAACAGCCAGTGCTTCCCCGCGTCCCCTTGCTGCGGCCGCAGGTTGCACTAGGAAGCCAGGGAGACGCAGAGTACTGGCAACAGCCCAGGGTGTCCGCTTCACGGGACCAGGGCCCAGCGCTTACCCTTGCGCACAGCAGGGCCATTCTCCTGTGGGGGCAGCTTCTCGGTGCCTGGAGATCGGGGCACTTCCTTCTCTGCCTGCTTCTGGGCCTCTCCCGCCTTCTGAGCCTGCTTGCACTTCTGGTCCAGCTGCTTGAGCTTGGCAGCACAGGCAGCCAGCCTCTCTTCCCGGGCTCGGCGCTCCTCCTCCTCCCGGCGCTTTCGGGCTCGCTCCACGGCTTCGGACATCTCTGACTGCACAAACTTCTGCCGTGGGGGTGGCTTGTCCTCTTTCTCCTCCATAGACTGCTGCCGGAACATGCTGCCCAGCGAGGATTTCTGCCCAGAGAATAAAGTCGGATGAAACAATGGGCCCCATGCCTGGGACACGGTCCACCCCACCATGAGATCAGTTCTCCTTCCCGAGACCCCTGAACACCTTTAAGAGGCAGCAGTCACGTGCCGAGTGGACCTGGGTTTCAATCCTGCTTGGCCCTTTACTAATCTGCAGTGAGGTCTGGGCAAGTGCCAACGTTCTCTACCTTAGCTCCCCCTGTGCAAGCTGGGGATAAAGGAGGCCCTAGGGACAGGAGATGTGCAATGAAGGATGTGCAAGGTGCTCTGCACCGTGACCGACACGGGAAACAGTGCCTGGATGCTCTCACCACGGCTAATGCACACACAAGATTAGGGCCTCCACGGCTAGCGGACAGGAGCAGAGACCCACACATTCATCATTTGAGTCGCAAAACGGCTCTCCTCTTTCTCCCGTGAAAATACAGAAACCTCTGGGTGTAAAGGGGTGCAAGAAACTAAAATTCACAATCAGACATATGGTTTCAAAGTGACTCTTCATATAAAGACATCTCTTTGGGCCACTTCATCCACTTCTGAGTCTCTCACTGGTTCCCAGTTACCGGGCAACCAGTGGGACGCCCTCTCAACCCTGGGAAGGTTGCTCCCCGATCTGCAGGGAGCGGAGCTGCAGACAGAACACAGCACAGATGATGGGCAAGTGTAACTGAGCGCCAGTCACCAAAACTCCCATGAGGAATGACCATCAAAAAACAGAGCTTCCCAGGGCGCCTGGGTGGCGTCTGCCTTCGGCTCAGGTCATGATCCCAGGGTCCTGGGATCGAGTCCCGCATCGGGCTCCCTGCTCAGCAGGAAGCCTGCTTCTCCCTCTCCCACTCCCCCTGCTTGTGTTCCCTCTCTCGTTGTGTCTCTGTCAAACAAATAAATAAAATCTTAAAAAAAAAACCACAGAGCTTCCCATGCCGGATGCTAGTGACAGATGCACACAAGGGTCCCCAGTCCTCAAACATCAAAAACAAGATCTCTGCCTTTTCTGGTGTGCTCATGAGCCCTTGACAAAAGAGCCATGTGACACATTTATTGCAGTCAAGGACTTTTCTCCTGCAAGTTAACTTCTCGTGATCCAGAGACAATAATGACAGAGAAGATTAGAAACTTCGAACTCGGAAGCATTTAAACGCACTTTCAGATGATGAGACTGGGGCCGAGGTGCGCACTTTCCTTTCACGTTGCCTGGGACCAGGCCTGCCCGTGCTCTGGAACGCCGTGCACGGTGGCAGCCCCCGGGCCTACATCATCATTTACCTCACCCCTCGGGGCTCCCAGAAATGAAAGAGCAGAATCAAAGGGCACGTGTGTAACTCCAGTAAGATGGCTGGGAGTGCCTTAACATTAGCTGCCATTTCATAGACCCCGTGCTCTGGAAAGCGTTTGAACTTTTCAGAAATCTGAATGCATAAAATTATAGAGATTTTTTTCTCTGTTGACTCAGTTAACTCACATTGTTGCTTATGAGCAGATCAAAGTGAAACCTTCCTGGAATACTGAGTAACCCCAATACAGGAATGGAATTTGGATTAACTGCAGGGTAATTTCCAAGAACAGCTCTGTCAATTTTGTTTCCCCTTTGTGTCCCCTATGCCTAACACAGGGCCTGGCACACAGTAGGTACTCAGTACAAAAGACTGAAAATAAAGGCATTTTTATTTTATGTGATGTAGAACCAGAGCCCCTTAAATGGCAAAGTGCATTAAAAATGGCAATTTTGTTACTGTGGTTGTTGTTTTGCTAAACATATTTGAATTAATACCTTTCCCTGAACTAACTCTGCGCCTCCTGGACAATCAGTCCCCAAGTCCCGAAGTGTGGCACAAGGCAGGCATCTGGCGCCGGGCAGTCATGGTGGCTAAGAGCAGGTGGTCAGAGCCCAGGCAGGGCGAGGAGGGGGTCCGTGTAGAGGTGTGGCTGGTGTGGGAGTTAGAGCCAACCCAGCTGGGTGAGGAGGCACATCACAAGGAGAGGCGGCCCAGCAGGGAGATTCAGGGCATCCACGTGGGGCAGGGAGGACGGGGCACTGACAGCTGAGGGAGCAAGCAGGGCATCTGTGCAAGGGAGAGAGCGTGGGGGGCAGAAACGGGAGACTGGTCACACACGGGGGGATGGATCAAGTGAGTGTGAATACCAGGGACAATGGGAACAGATGTCTCACTGCTGGAGAGAGGAGCTACAGATACACGGGGGGAATGAACCAAGTTGGATTGTGTGGAACCAAAGGTACCACTGTGAAGTCATGGCTCTCCACACAGACATGGAAATAATAAAGACACAAACATGTATCTATGTGTATCTGTATATACATACACACCTTTCCTCACCCAGTCCACCGAGCAGGCCCAGGAGGAGTGAGCACTCCCGATACCCACATATTGGTTTCTAAGTATCATAAGGGCTGATTCCAGACCAAGGCAAGGTAAGGACAAAATGACCTTGGAAAAGCTCGTCCTGGGGCGCCTGGCTGGCTCAGATGGTAGACTGACCATGTGACTCTTGATCTCAGGTCGTGAGTTCACGCCCCATGTTGGGTGTAGAGCTTACTTAGAAAAAAAAAAAATTGAAAGAAAAAAAAAGAAAAGAAAAGCTTGTCCTACCAGAAAACAAGGAAACTGCTCAATAATGGATGGGACACATAAGGACCGACGCCAGCCTGAAGAGGCTCCTGACTGCCAAATCAAAAATACTTGGAGCTTCAAAACAACGAGAGGAAGAGATTATAACTCACTATGTAAATAAGTAAACTAGAAGTTTAATGAGAAACAGGATAGTCATAATTTCAAAGTATCTCCCCACATATTTTTTATTACAAATGTGGAAGAGAGAAACTCCACAGTGTGAAATTCAGGGGACATTAAAATCTTAGTCGAGAGATCAGAGTGAAAGCTGCCAGAGCGCGCACAGAGTGGGCTCTCTGTCGCATGGTGGGATGCGAGGAGAGGAGTCAGTGTCATTTCTGAGATAGTCTAGCCAAAAATGCAAACCTTGGACCTAATCATGAGGAAACACCAGACAAACCCAACTTGAGGTGAATTCCACAAAATAAATGGCTTGCAATCCCCACAAGTGTCAAAGTCACGAGTGTGAAGGAAGGCTGAGGGGCTACTGCAGACTGCAGGCAGTCTGTGATTGGACTCCTCTGTACAAAGGACACTGATGGAACCAACTCCAGGTAGGAGTTGGATGGGGCTGAGGATCAGATGGCAGTGAGGTATCAACGCTAACTTCCTGATTTTGACTGTGGTTACCTACGAGGCAGAAAATTAATACCAAAGTTTTCTGCAGTGACAGGGCCTGACCAGGCTGGCAACTTACTCTACAAATGGTTCAGAGAAAAATATTCTTTGTGTTGTGCTTCCAACTTTTTGGTAAGTTTGTGACTGTTTCAAAATTTTAAAAGAAATTTTTTTAATGAAAAATCAAAAGAGAGAAATGTCCACCCAGGACTTTTCAGAAACCTAACCACGGAACTCAGTGAAGTACAAACGCATAGGCCAGACGACCAGACGACTGCTGTGCTGCGGTCTTGGAGCTCTGGTGAGAACGAATTTGAGAAGAACAGGTGTGTGCGCATGCGTGCATCTTCCCCAAGCTAGTCACAGGCACAGAACCCCTCCAGGGACCACGGTACCTGGTAGTCAGGGCCAGACGCCCAGCTGTGAAGTTTCCTGGAAAGTGGCTGAGGTTCTGGCACTTTCCGGACGACACGGGTCACACCCACTGCTTCGCCCCAGTCCTTTCCTTCCTCTTGGGAACGCTTGACATCGGCACTGTCCGCGGAGCTCATCGACAACTGTCGCTGCCGTCTGGGGTCCCAACTGCTCCTGGGACAGACCGCAGTGAGCGTGAGTTTTCCCATCAGCCCCAGCATGGTTTGGTCTTACCCGTCAGAGGGCCTCAGGAATCCCCAAGCCAGCTGTCCATACACCAATGTCCTTCCCTGGAACAGACCTAGCCCGCCGTGGGTGAGAGGACACGCCCAGAACACCAAAATCCAGCACCAACATTTACCACGTCACTCTTACACACAAAACTCCAGGTGGGACATTTCACATCCATTACTTGGTTTACAGGAAAATAAGTCCTTTCCCCCCATTTTAAAGGGTTGATAACAGAGTTTCAGAGAGCTTGGGGAGCTGTCTTCCCAGGAAGAGCAAACAGATATGAACCTAGGATCCCAGATGAAGGTCCCTTCTCCTTAGACTATGGCTCCTTCCCTGTGTTTTGCATAAAGGAGGTGCTCAATCAATTCTCCTCAAAATAGCAAAAGACGACTCACTGAATGATGCATAATACAGAGAGCAAGAGGAGGAAGCCAAGCAGATGCAGCACGGAGAAGAAGAAGAGGGGTTCCAAACGGAGGCTGGAAGGGAATGGAGATCTGGACAGTGCTCACCTTTATGTGCTGCAGGGAAACAAAGGCACCAGGGTAAAAAAAATATGTGCATTTACCAAGCACTGCTTTTGTGCAAAAGAAGCGCCCAGCACACATCAAGGAGTCCAGAGAAAAGCAGGGGGTCAGGAGTGGCTCATATGTGTGTGTCTGCGTGTGTCCATGCACACAGGTGCAGGGAGGGCAAAGGGAAGATGAGGCTCTCACTTTGAGAGGCGCCAAGACCACGCAAGGCTCCTGACGCACCAGGAAAGACGACTAAGGCACAGTGTGGAGGAAGGATGTGAGCCGGCTAACCTCTGAATGGTCCAGAAAAGAAAGGATGTGGTCCCAGGGGCCCAGGGACAATGAACAGGAAGGGATGGAGTCCAGGGAAGTGTCGGGAACCCATCAGGGATGGGGAAACAAAAATGATTTAAGGAAGACCCGGGAGCTTGGAGGAGGAGACTCACAACTAACTCGGAGAACACGGAGAAAAGAGCAGGTTCAGGGAGGGGATGGCTTGGGGACTCTCAATCTGAGATGCCCTTGGTCAAAGCCAGCAGCGAAGCTGGGTCCAAACCCATGCTTAACCCTTTCAGTTGAATATTCCATTCACGTCAACTGAAAGAGATGAGGAACAGAGTGTCCTATTGCTCCATAAGTCTGTAAAACTGTATGTCTTTGCCTTTGATTTAAATTCTTGCTCACAATTCCTTCTGGGCTGAGTGTTCCAAGAACTGACCCATAGATATTTCCCAAGTGCATTCAAAGCTTCAGTTAAAATCAAACAGCAGTAAAATAAACTAGAGAAGCCTCAATTAGTTCACTGTTCGTGTACCAGAGAAAAAGTAGCTGAAGGTCACTACCCACCCCCTCTAGAAGGACTTTGAAGTAAATAACATGGAATAACAAAGAAAAAGACTTGCACGCTTGACTATGTAAACATTCAGTTATTGACAATAAAACTGACAAAAGGAAAAACATCAAAGCATTAATATTTAAATGATATAAAACACTAACCCCATTTTAAAGGTGATATAGTAAGTCTAATAAATAAATATACAAAGGAAATAGGCAATCCCACACAAAGGAAAGCATTCATATTTGCTGGTATTCAAAAATAAAATTAAATTAAATTGAAAAGCAAATTAAAGCAGCCATAAGTACTATTTAAAAAGTACTAGCCAGGGGCACCTGGGTGGCTCAGTTGGTTAAGCGTCTGCCTTCAGCTCAGGTCACGATCCCAGGGATCATGGGATTGAGGCCCAAGTCAGGCTCCCTGCTCAGCCAGGAGCCTGCTTCGCCTTCTCCCTCTGCCCTTCTCCTGCTTGTGTTCTCTCTCCTTCTCTCTCAAATAAATTAAAAAAATCTTAAAAAAAAAAAAAAAAAGTACTAGCCAGGGGAGCCTGGCTGGCTCAGTCAGTAGAGCGTGCGACTCTTGATCACAGGGTCAGGAGTTCGAGCCCCACATTAGGGATGGCGTTTACTTTAAAAATAAATAAAAATAAAAAGTACTAGCCAATCAATCTACTGGCATTATGACAAAAACTAGAGGGACCAAACTACAATGGAGTTTTTTTTCAAAGGGCATTATAGGTAATATGAGTCCAAAAAAGACAGAAAAAGGATGAAATGGTCAAGTAAGTTCAGGAAATCTGGCATACCCCACTCAGTGCTTCTCCCACCTCTCCAAAGATCCCCGACACGCTTCAGCACGCATGTCCTAGGCTCTGGGCAACCGTGAAGTAAAGGAGTTAAGTTGAACCCTGGTGGTTTCCCAGCTGTGCCTGGCCAGAGAAACCCTGCTGGGCACCAGACCCACACGTAATCTGCGGAGCAGGAGGTGCAAACAACACTCGAGAAACACTGGCACGCGGTTAAAACCACCAGGACTCAGCCAGCCCACCAGCCAACCGTGCCGGGATGCGCACCCTGGCTCCGGTCCCACACGCTGTCCCATCCGCAGAAGGGAAACCACATCTGCCCGTGTTGAGGCTGCCCATGACCAGGAAATGCACTTGGCACGGTGACCAGCACACGGCCGCACGGCCAAGCAGTGATGCGCGTGCACCCGCTTTGGTCAAGCCCCAGGGAGCGGCGCTCCGAGCAGGGATGGGGGATCCTTACCACTTCGGCCTGCCATCCTTCCCAACTTCTTCCTCCTCTTCATCATCACTGAACTTCAGTTTCTCGGAGTAGTCCACTTCCTCATGAAGGCCTACAACAGGAGGAGGGCCAAGGAGACCAAGAGAAGCCAAGTCTGAGCAGCGCTAAGAGCGCCACCCTGGGGACTTCCTCCAGTCAAGGGCTGCTGTCGGCCCAACGGAGGAGGAAGGGCAACCCGGCCAACCGCCACCACGACAAACACCGCAAATCAGGTGAGGGATGGCTTTGGCTTCGGGCGACAACAGAGCAACCCGGCCAGATTAACCCTTCCACAGATAACGGTTCTTAAATCTGGACAAAATATTTTACAAACATATTAGAAGGTACGGAAGAGTGAACAAAAAAGCAGGCAAAACGAGACGGGAGTCCAACCTGGCAACACAGAGGCTTGGCCAGTGGGATCTGTGAGCTACCCAGCGTGAGGGGCTCAGGGGGCAGAACGTGCCCATCAGCTGACAAGTCGGCACACAAAATGTGGGAGAGCCATACAGGGAAAGAGTATTTTGGCCATAAAAATGAATACGGACACACACCTCAACAAGATGAATCCTGAAAACATGCTCAGTGAGAGAAGCCAGAGAGAAAAGGCCACACGCTATACTGGGCTTCCGTTTACATGAAGTGTCCCGAAGAGGCAAAACCACAGAGACGGAAAGTAAATAGTGGTTGCCAGAGGATGCATGTGGGGGTGGGGGGTCACTGGGAGTGGCTGCTAATGGTACAGTGTGCTTCTTTTGTGGGTGATGGAAATGTTCTGGAACTGGACAGTGGAAATGGCTGCACAAACATGTGAATGTACTAAAACCCACTGAACTGTGGACTTTAAAAGGATGGATTTAATGGTATGTGAAATTTGTTTTATGAACTGTATCTTTTTAAAAAGAAAACAAAAAGTCCAATACAATTACAAAGCAAATTTGATGAAAAGGCAAGTGCAACTATACGCTGTCTAGATCATCAGTTTAAATACAAACACAAATGGGCTGAAAGGAAAAGGATTAAAGAAAAAAGACACAACATGAAAACATTAACACCAGAGCAATGATCTAACATGGGACAAAAGACGCCCCCCCACCAAGACAAGAAACATTTCTAGTGATAAAGGACATCTGAAAACAATACAAAGGATCAATATGTCGGTCATAAAAATTATAAATGTGCATATGCCTAATAACAGCTTAGAAACCAATGAAGCAGAAACCTGATAGAATTAAAGGGAGAAATAGATAAATCCACAGTCACAGTGGAGAATTCCACACCTCATTTTCAGTAAGAGAATTAGACAAAAATATAAATATGTAAGATCTGAAGGATAATATTAACCACCTTGATAGTGACTAAACTGATATTTACAGATGCTCAACAACTGTAGAATACACATTCTTTTCAAATACACTTGAATAGTCACCAAGACAGACTATGTCCTAGTCATAAAATAAGTCTCAGTGAGTTGAAAAGAACCAGAATCATACAGTGTATGCTCTTGGACTACAATGGAGTTAAATCAGAAATCCAGAAAGCCCTAATAATTAAAATGAACAGATAACAATCCAACAATGGAGAAAATTAAAGCCCCAGTTTAAACTGCCTTTTCTTAAGAGATAAAGATTAAAAAGAATAACTCCTTAGCAGAAGTGAATAAGAAAAAGAGAAAAAATACAAATTACCCAATTACTGGGAATGAAAGAGGGGCTATCACTACAGATCCTACAGACACCAAAAGGAAAAGGAATGAGATCAACAACTTTATACCAATAAATTCAACTCAAAAGAAATGAACAAATCCCTTGAAAAACACGACTTTTTAAATACTGACAAAAACAACAAAGGAAATCTGAGTAGCCCTCTAACTAATCAAAGAAATTAAATTTATTATCAAGAATGTCACCACAAAGAAAACTCCAGGGTTAAATTATTTCACTGGTGAATTTTATCAAACATTTAGGAGAGAAATAATATCAAACTTATAGAAACTCAAAAAGCAAAGAAGGAACATTTTCCAACTCCTCTTATGAGCCCAGCATAACCCAATACCAAAACCCAACAAAGATATTAAAAGAAAAGAAAATCAGAGACCAATATCTGCCATGGACATAGACACCAAGAACCTTCATAAAATATCAGCACACTGAATCTAGGCATACAACAAGGTGGAGCTTATTCTAGGAATGCAAGGTTGGTTTAGCATTAAAAATAAATAAACAAAACAAACAAGTATCAACCAATCAATCAATGCAGTCCTCCAGATTACCAAAATAAAGGGGAAAAATCTTTTGATCACAGACACAGGGAAAGTTATTAAACAAAATTCAATACCCATTCATGATTTAGAAAACAAAACACTCAGCAAACTAGAAATAGAAGGAAACCCCTTGATCTGATAAAAAACACCCAAAATCCTATAGCTGACATCAGATTTAACGGTGAAACACTAGACACTTTCTCCCCAAGATCAGGAACAAAGAACTTCAACACAGCACTGTACTGGAAGTACCACACTGCATTTAGGCAAGAAAAAGAAATAAAAAAGGCATATAATCTGAAAAGAAGACACAAAACTCTCCCTATTTATAAGCAACACTATGGTTTATGTAGAAAATTCTAAGCAATCAACAAAAACTAGTAAAACTAATCAGTGTAATTCAACGAAGTGCCTGGTACAGGTCCATACACAAAAATCAATGGTTTATGTAACACCAAACAAAAAAATGATTACATTTTAAAAATCAACACCATTTACAGCAGCGTCAAAAAACATAAACTACTTAGGAATAAACTTAACAAAAGATGTTGGAGACCTCCACACTGAAAACTGTGAAACACAGCTGAGAAAAGTCAGATTCACCAAGTTCCCGGGTGGAAGATTCAAAATTAAGGTATCATTTATCTAGAAATACATTCAACACAGTCCTAACCAAAATGCCTGTGAGCTTTTTGTAAATACTGACAGGCTGATTCTAAATTTATATGGGAATGAAAAGATCTTATAGTTGAATAATATTGAAAAAATAGTCAATCTTGAAAAGGAACAAGGCTGGAAAACTTACACGGCCTGAATTTAAGACTCACTATAAAGCTACAGTGTGGTATTGGCATAAGGATGAATAAATACATCAAGGAAACAAACAGGGTCCAGAAATAGACCCATACTTATCTGGTCAATTGATTTTTGGCAAAGGTGCCAAAGTAAAATTCAATAGGGAGAGGAAAGTCCTAACAACAAATGGTACAGAACCACTAGATATCCTTCTGGATTCAAGTGAGCCTGGACTCCTAGCTTACGCACAAAAATTAATTCAACAAAGACCACAGACCCAAAAACAAGAATTGAAACTATAGAAAATAGGAGAGTATCTTGGGGCGCCTGGGTGGCTCAGATGGTTAAGCATCTGCCTTCAGCTCAGGTCATGATCTCAGGGTCCTAGGATCGAGCCCCACATCAGACTCCTTGCTCAGCGGGAAGCCTGCTTCTCCCTCTCCCTCTACTGCTCCCCCTGCTTATACTCTCTCACTCTCTCTGTTGAATAAATAAATAAAATCTTTAAAAAAAAAAAGGGGGAGTATCTTTGCTGTCAAGGGGAGACAAAGATTTTTAGACAGGACACAAAAGAAATAACTATAAAAAACACAAATTTATAAATTAAACTTCATCAAAACAAAAAAACTTCGGCTCATCAAAACCCAGGGCTAAAAAAATGAACAGACAAGGGGCGCCTGGGTGGCTCAGTCGGTTAAGTGTCCGACTCTTGGTTTTGGCTCAGGTCATGGTCTCATGGGTCCTGGGATTGAGAGCCGTGTCAGACTTCGCTCTCAGCACGGAGTCTGCTTGGGATTCTCAATCCCTCTCCCTCTCTGCCCCTCCCCCCACTCATATGCTCTCTCTCTCTCATATAAATATCTTTTAAAAAAAAAAAAAAAAAGGACAGACAAGGCAGGCAAACAATGAGAAAAAAATATTTGTAAAACGTTAAGTTGCAAAGGACTCGTATCCATGACTTTTATCCTACCACTCAAAAAGAGAAAAAAAAAAGAAAGAAAATACACCAGTAGCCAAATAACACATGAAAACTTGTTCACCATCATTAGTCATCAGCAAAATGCAAATTACAAGCATAATGAGACACCACTACACACCCACTAGAATGGCTAAAATTAAAAAGACTAATCACATGGAAGTGTTGTGAGGGCGCAGAGAAACCCAGTTCTCAAACCCTGATGCCAGGAACGTAACCTCGCACGGCCACCACGGGGAAAGGTGCAGGTGGGTCTCAGAGGCCCAACGGCTCATCTTCCCTTTGACCTAACAATTCCACTCCTGGGTATTTACTGAAGACAAATGAAAATATTGTTCATAATGGAACCTCCCTCACAAGAGGGGAGGCCCTAGGCAGAGTCGGGGGAGGAAGGCAGGCTGGCAGGGGAAAGTTCTGGAAAGTCCTCTCAGCGGGAGGTGTGCTACACACGTGTATCCCTCTGTCAAAACTGCACAATGAAGATGAGCACCTTTCAGTGTAACTTGAAAGCAAATAAACAAAAAGAATTTTAAGAGAACACAATTGGACTGGCGGACAGGGCGTGGTACTTGTTGAAGCCAGGTGATGGGAAGCTGGGGGCTCACTGCCCCATTTCCAGTTTTGTTTAACTTTTAGAAAGTTAACAAAACGTCCCCTGCAGCTAAGAGCGAAACCAAAGACCAACAGAAGACACGGCTCGGTGAGGAAGCAACCGCTGGCCAGCACCCACTGGGGGCCCTGAAGTTGCCGCCCGCCCCACAGCCCCACTGCGGCGTGCTGAGGGACGCACACCCACTCGCTGGCCCTGAAAGCCCCACGACCCACCTGCCCAGCCATCGTCAGCGTCTGCGTCCAGGTCGTCCAGGCCCTTCAGGTTTTCGGCGTTGATGATCGTGGGCCGCGGCGCCCGTCCCACCAGCTGCCTCAGCGGGCGGATGGGGCGAGTCGTTCCCAGCCTGCTTTCTTTTCTGACGAGGGCGAGAAGAGTAAAGATCTGGCCTCATGTCAAGTATACAGATGGAAGCACAACCCAATACTTTTCCCAAAAATAAGTCCTACATTGCCAAGGTTCATGGTTGCATTTAATATTTAAATCGTTTCCCTTTAAAAGAAACCTATAACGAACAAACACATCCCGGAGAAGTTCTGCCCCGTTCTGCAGTTTTATACACTCAGTACTAACGCCTAGGGCAGCAGTCACAAACACGTGCCAACACGTCAACTCTTGTCAGAAACGTACAATCCTAACCCAGCCTCGTCCAGCTCCGGATCCCAGCCACCCCACATACCCTGCAGCTCAGAGTTGGTTTTCAGGTCCACTGTGGCCTCCAAAAGACAAAGCACCTTCAAACGTCAGCCCATTATCTCGTGCAGTGCCCCCAAGTGGGGGCACGCTCTATAACACAGGAGCCTTACCCATCTTGGTCATTCATCTGGAACTGTCTAAAAGGAACACGGGGTTCAAGACGGAGCTGGGGAAGGGGAAAAGATCCTCGTTCCACTGTACCCTGGTTCTCTGATGACTGCGGTGAACACATCTGAAACATAACATCAATGAACAGGATTTTCTGGTAATGGCTCACATGCTAAGTTCCACTTGCATTCGAATTCGTTTTGGAAAATGGAAACTGGGAAGAAGAGACAAGCAAGTCTTGGAACTGCCCAGTTAACCCTACCCCCGTATCCCCCATCTCTTTCATGCCGTCAGGAAGCACACCTGGGGACTTGAGATGTCGTAGGCAATGCCTGCCTCTCCTTTCTCTAAAGAACCAAAGGCTAAAATAATACCCACATCACCAGGGAAAGAAGCCAAAGACCCTCAAGACTTGAAAAGGGGGAGAGAAAAATGCAGAAGTAATGGACACGTCCAAGGTAGGGCATATCAGGGCAAAGACATTGGGAGGAGAACCGAGGTGGACATTCAACCACTTAGAGGAGGTTCTGCTGGACACGAGCAATCCAACTTCATGGGGAAAAAAAATGCATACTCTGAAAACTTACAAAAGCAGGAAGCATGTCATGGTATGTAGGTGGGTGGTATACATTTCCCATGAACTGTGAAGCCCCTTTTCGGACAGGCTGAGCCGGGCGGAGAGAGGGGTCCTTAGAATCGCTGGTACATGCCGAGGAGGGGGCTCCGTCTCCCGCACTTGAGTTCCTGCTGCCCAGCTCAGTTGGGGAGGCGCTCAGAGACGTGGCAGAAATTATGTTTCGCCCACCGCCCTCCCTCCAGCTTGTCACATCTGGAAATTGAAAGGGGGCAAAAGGGGAAAGAGGAGGGGGGAGGAGGGATTGTGTGAGGTTCTGAAGGTCAAGGGACCCCCTCATTCACCAAAAACAAAAACAAAAAACCCAAAAGTGAAGAGTCAAGTGGTCGAATCTGTCAGGGAAGGTGGAGGGCAGACACCTGACCAATGAATATGAACTTGCTGTGGGAAGTATGGTTGTAAGAGAAATACAAAACAAGGTCCACTCACAGAGAAAACAAGTATAAACAAGACATGGTCTTCGTTAATTAACAGAAACCACATACACCCACAGATCTAACACACGAAGAAATCAGGACACAGCCTCGATGAAAACAGCCTGGGGTTAATTTCTCCCACAAATACTGACCCATCAGGATCAGCACTAGGCTCAGCACTGGGCTTTACATTAAAACTGGAATAAGTCCTGGGGCACGTGGCTGGCTCAGTCGGTAGAGTGTGTGACTCTTGACCTTGGGGTTGTGAGTTTGAGCTCCATGTTGGGTGTAGAGATTACTTACAACTAAAACCTTGAAAACGGGTGTAAGTCCTGACATGTTTCAACTCTGTTTCTCAGTGACGCCTCTGGTCAGAGATTTCGCAGCTCTTAAGGTAAAGCAGAGCCCCTCGCCCTCCAAGTGGGGGTGTAGGAGGATCTGTGGCCCTACCCACCAGGCCTTCACCCCCACTCCTGCTCAGGCTCAGGGTGCTCTCCTGCAGGTCACAGACCTGCCAACCTATCTATCTTTTCAAGATGATGTGTCCCGCTGCCAAATTTAACAAGATCTGGGGGAATCAGATGAGCCCGCCCCTTCTCAGTCAATGTCTGGTTAGGAGTTGAAGCACGAAGTCCCTGAGTACTTGACCCCCAAGAGAAAGAGACACAGCACAGGAGCCACAAAACCAGGGCTGGGTCCCAGCAATTCAAGCACCTTGCATGCAATCTTGGGCGAATGCTATGGTCACCGCTCTGGCCACACCTGCTCCATCTTCTCAAATGAGGAGATGCAACTGATCCCAGAAGCTGCTTCTAGTTCTAAATTTTTGTAGTCCTACAGAGCAGCTCATTTTAACCCCAGACAGCTACCCAATGCTTGGCTTGAGGAATTCGGTTACATTATTTGGAGCAGACAAAATAAGCCAGCACAGGTCACTGAAAAGGTAGCATGCGCCATTTAAGAGTCATCTCGTGATCATTTCATTTACAGGGTATCACTTCTGACACTGAGATGCTTCGCGGATTAAGACAAGTGGACAGAAGTCCCTCATGTTTCAAGACCTAATCAAACCCTCCCTTCCCCCACCCACCCCCAAACAAACAAAAAACAAGAACCATTTCACCAAATTTCACAACATCTTAATCTCTCACCTCTCGAGGCCATTAAAATACACATGTATTACTTGTAAGTTCTGCTCCACAATCCTGTCAACTCCTTGGCCAGACCCCAGAGGACGGGACCATGGAGACAAGTCCTAGGCTGGCTACAAACAATCCCCAGAGGAGCATGTTAAAATACAGAGATTCTAATTTGGCTGGGGAGGGAGGAGGGCCGGAAATCAGACTTTTTAACAAACTCCTCAAAGGCTCCTGACAGGATTCGGCTAGGTTTAGGCACCACTGGCTTAGAAAACAGGCTCCTGAATCAGGTACGAAGTGAACGGGCCCTTGGTCTGTCTTTGCCCTGAGCAAAGCAGAACAGAACAGAACAAATGTCTGATGACAGAGGGGGAAGGAGACAGGCCTGGTTCAACCCGAAGGATGAGAAAGGGGGAGTCCTCTACAGACCAGCCTAGGGAGTAAGTCCCACAGAGGCAGGGAACAGGGTCAGTAAGCAAGCTTTGCAGGCAGAGAGCCTGGGGCTCGGGAGCACCAGCTCGTTGAGAGCATGTGTGCTTCTAAGAGGCAGAAAGGCAAAAGGAGGAGGACAGCCGCTGTTCCCACACGTGCCCAGACAGAGACCACAGTGCACTTACTCTGAGGGCGGAGGCTTGGTCCTGGCCCATACGACAGATCGAAGACGCCCCTTTCCTTGCCAGCCTTGTCCTGCCCTCCAGCTGCTTTCAGCGTCGGAAACTCCTCGGGAGAGAAGGATAACAGTCGGCTTGAGCCCCTTAAACCTGCCGAGAAAAGCAGAGGACCCGGTGAGGGGCACTGACGGGCATCAACAGCTGTCGGCTTTAACAGCCCCGCGGGTCAGGAGCCACGCCGCCTGGAGCAGGCTCCCGCTGAGTGTGTCCCATCTGCACGGGACAAGGAGAGCGAGACGCAGAAGGCCTGCAGGGGCTGGGACAGCAGATCACAGTCGCTCCAGCCCAGATCCTTCTCCTTGCCTCCCCAAGGCCTCCACCCCAGATCCACCCTCATTAGCAATAAACATTTCACTCCTGCAAGCCTAGGATCTGTTCCTTCCTTTGCTCTCCCATCCACTCCCTGATGCTATAGGCTCCTCAGAGAAGAAACCCTTCTTTAACTTTCTGGGAGCACTCAGCACCGGGAACCTGAAATCATCTTGTAGACAGATGGCTAATAATAAATGGTGCATTTTAGGGTCCAGTGGGATCTGCTGCTTGTATCTGGACCAAATGCCCAGCACCCTATAAACTTAACATGACAGTTACAACGTCCGGCTGTGATACGCCTTGTTCCTTTGACGAGAAAGCCAAATTTCCCTCCCAGGTATTCTTTTTAGCACCACTGATCCACGGACCCGTGAACTAAGGCGGGCTTGGCCAGAAACATGCAGCTGGGATTAGTGCAGACGCACAAGGCAGCAACCCACTCACTGCCCCACTTAGCGAAAAGGTCCAGGGTCAAATACACCTGCCAGGGTGACAACGGGACACATTCCTCAGCGATGATTAACCTGAGAGATGATCTCCAAGCGTCACAAAGGAGCCCTGCTGCTCTGTGAAGGGGGACTTCGACTCTCAGAGTCGCTTGGACACGTTCAAAACCCACTGGCAAGGATGAAATATGGAAGTCGTGCCTTAAAAATACACATCTGAAGCTTAAAAACAAACACTCGGTACTTTTTTCTGCCTCAGCTGTCACGAAGGTCTTGCTCTATCCGTGGATTAAACTCACCCTCCACAGGTAAGAAAGAGGGAAGAACTCAAAATCTCAAACCAAAGCAGTAGCAGAGGATCCCCCACCAATCCGTTATGCCACGTGGTCCCTGCGCGAAGGTCCCAGGTGGAGCCATCAGTGGGTCCCGCCGCCCCACCGGAGCCCACGAGCCTCGGGCGTCAGCCCACACCAGTCAGGCCCCCGGGGGCTGGTCCAGGTGAAACAGGCCCAATGACCATCTTCTACAAGGAGGGGTCTATCAATTCAGGAAGAGCCCTTCCGAAGCACTGAGCCAGGAACATGTTTGTGGGCCTCACTGCCAAGTGCCCACCGCCCCGACGGCACCTCGGGCCTGTGACCCTCGTTCCCGCCCCCGCCCAGGCCCAGGACACGTCTGTCCCTCCTCCTGGGCTCCTGGGTTCTGCCACCTCCAAGACGAGCAATCAGACGTTCACAGAGGATTTTGTCATGTTTTGGAATTATTTTCTAGACCACGTCTTATTTTTTTATAGGAAATAGAATCACAAGGTTCAAAAGTAAGAAGCCGTAAAAAGGTACGAACAGATGACGCCCCCCCCCACCGCCTACTTCCGACGCCCTCAGAAACAGGCTGCTTCCAGCTCCACTCCCTCCCTTCCTCTGAGGCTCCCTTCCAGACTCTTCTCTAATGCACATACATGTTTCAGAAGTAGATTTTCCCTCATCTGAATTTTTTTCATGAATAGTAGTAACATACCGTACGTACTACTTACTCCACACTTTTTTTCATTTAAGAATGTATCTTACAACCTAGGGATCTTGCCAGATCCATGTAAAAATGCTTTTTTTCCTTATAGGCAAGTAGTATTTCATTAAAGCACCCAAATCTGGTGGACATGTCAAGTGATTATTCCCAATCTTTTGCTGTTATAATGTTGCAAGGAGTATCCTGTACGTATGTCCTTTCTCACAGGGGCAAGGATCATTCTAGGGGGATTTCCACACAACGGAACTGCTAGGTCGAAGGGTGTGCATATCAGTGTTTGGATAATGGCCAAGCTGCCCTCCACGGGGGTTGTGCCAATTTACACTAGGATTTTTTTAACCTCTGTAGTTTTTTTTTTTAAGATTTTATTTATTTATGAGAGAGAGAGAGAGAGAGAGCGCGCGCGCACAAGCAGGGGGAGCAGCAGGCAGAGGGCGAAGAGCCCAATGCGGGGGTTCTAGGGGGCTAGATCCCAAGACCTGAGCCAAAGGCAGAAGCCTGACTTAGCCACCCAGGCCCCCCTATAGTTCTTTTTAAACACAAATTAATACATTTGATTTACTTAAAAAAAGTTCTAGCCTTACAGAATAAAGGCTTTCGAAAGCAAGGACTACTGTGAAAACAACCTAGTGAGTGCTCTTTATAAAGCCTCTTTAAAGACCTAATTGTAGGGGACTGAGACACGTCTTGCCCCCTCTATCTCACCCTACAGACTGGAGCGTAAAGCTCCCTTACAGACGGGACAGACGCAGGCCGAGCTCTCCTGCCCTGAGCTCCCCTGGAGGAGCTGGTGCTTGACAACACTCGGCACACTGATGCCTGATGTGTCATTCCCCACCAGAGAGCGAGGACAGAGCCTCCGGCCACGCAGAAGGGGCACGTGCACTGGGCAAGGCG